ATTTAGCATGCAATGGGGGTTTCAAGTGACTGTAATATGGACTTAATATTTCCAAACAACACATCCAACATTTAGACGATAGATAAGTGTACCATACTACTATGATACAAAGATATCTTCATGATGTTTCCCAAACTTCTCATATGAATCACATGTTGAGTAAACTTACTTTCCTTCTCTCTGAACTGGAACAGATATCCACAACAGGAAATATAAGTTGATTCTACCTATTGATACATGCACAAATCAGAAACAGGAGGCCAGAGAATTTGGGAAATAACAAAGTAAATGTTTGGATCTATTTTGGGCAGTTCACGGAATTTACTTAGGAGAATGTGTGAAAACACATGTTATAGTAATGTAAGAGAATGGCTCTTCGCAAAATCCAACATTAGTTTTTATGGAGAATTATAAGGGGTATGTCCATGTTCCTACTATAAGTGAGAGAATCACCACCAAGAATGAGCACCCAAAAAACTCATACGTGACAGCTCTCATGAAATTCTCCTTACAAAGGGAGAGCACCTATCACAGTGGTCTAGTCTACTACAACTCAGCAGAGTCTAGTCAGGAGTTTAAAGATTGAGGTTTGATCAGTAAGGGAAGAAATCTATGTCTCAGTAGCCGTATTCATTAATGCAATAAGCAATGCCAAAGCAACAGGTCAGGGCCAAGTAACAGACCGACAACTAAAACAATGTTTGATATATATCTATTCCACAATAAATAAACTAGAAAAATTGATTCAACCACATACACTATCAAGCAGTTACACAAAATATCAATATCAGTGATCAAACCCACAAGCCAGATGGTCAATTTTGCTTATAAACATAAAAAACCGTAAATTTAAAGTTAATCAGATAGCTATATATTTTTCAATCAAAATATACAAATTACAGGGAGCAAGTGGGAGCTGGGTCCAATACTAGGTCTCCGCAACTACAGTGGGTATCATTGACAGTGTACACATGCTATGCAACCATAGGACTTGTGTGGTTATGTTATCATTTTCAATTTCTAGTATCTGGCGTGGGGTATATAAGATAATATTGATAAGACTGTTAAAACTTCGTGGCCTAACAGATGATGCGTGATCCATAGATTTAAGCAATTTTTTATGAAAAAAATGAAAAATATAATCCAATTCAAAAGGTTAAACAAACTAGAAAACATTTCATTGTTAAGAATAGTTGGAAATAAAATTCAACACGCCATCGAGCCAACTCCAACTCCTTGTGTGCCTCTTAATCCTGAGTAATTTATAATTTTGCTCAAGAAACTTAAACTTCCAGAAATTAGAATGGTTTTTTATGTTAGGCAAAAACATTGACTATTTGACTTCTTCATCGGATGTCCATTGTCTAATTATTGATATTAGTGTTTTATGTCGTTTATTACTATTTTATAGTTATGCTTAGTTATAAAAATCAAAATATATTTATGGACCAAAGTAGATCTGATTCACATATCTTTGGCATCTCACAACTAGATGTTGTCTAGACATCATAAGCACGGTAGTGGCAAAGTCTCCAGACAGAATGACTACATACACTCAGAAACGGCAACATACTTCCAATTGAATAAAATGCTAGTACGACTCAGAGTATGCCATAATATAAAATCATGAATCAGCACATAAATCGGGACACATCTTTCCAACCAATATGATTTACTTAACATAATGTTTACATTGACAGCTTAGTCTTCTTAAGTTGTCCATTATCATGTAGTCATGCATTGGCTATTCAATACTTGGCCTTTATGATAGTCAATATGCGATGGATTTGAAGGTTTGGAGTCTTGATATTCAAGAAGTACTCTTCAAATAAAAACAGCTTTACTACATCATTCATTTCTCAAAAAACAAGCTGGTCATACTAATCTCAAAAGGTGGAAAATAAATGACACACTATCACTAAACCAAATATTAATAATAATCCCATTATTGAAAAATATGACGCTTCAGATGCACATAAGTTCCCGTTGTTGTTTTCACTTCAATTGTGCATTTCCAACTATAAATATATCATATTTCTACCTCCAAAGTTCACTAGAATTAGCCTCAAAAAAGGCTGCTGAGGATGGCATCATTGCCTGGTGCTAGGGACAAAAACTGTTGATGGACCAAAAGATATAATATTTCTACCAAGATAACTGGAAGTTCCACATTCAAGTAATAACTAATAATGTGTATTTCAGATATAAAGTAAGTGAGTGAGTGATTGAGTTAGTGATGAGCCTTGGCGATGTGCTCATGGCCTGGCCTCAAAGCGCAACGCGAGGCCATGGCGCCGCCTCATGAACATGCCGCAACATAGGGAAAACAAAAGAAAATAAATGATAACAATACATATATAAGAGTAGATTGTAGCTTTCAATAATCCCAATCACACAACTACAGAAGGCATTAGTATGTAGCAATGACAAAGGTGAAACTGAAACATGAGTCAACATCCAACAGAAAGTCGTAGAACACAAAGATGTATAAACACATAGACAAAGTTCACCAAGATTCAAGTCTACGACAGGGAACTGGATAGCCGGTGATACCCTTGGTTTGCAATGTTGACTATCTTCCTTGAATATTTTTTTTCCCTGAACCTAAACACTCGTTTTTGCATCCTCAGCACTGTAGTTTTTGTATTCTCTGTGATGTGCGTTTGAAGTGGGAGAGCCAGACTTATAAAACACCTTACAAGTTTAAAGAGAAAACCAGCACTACATAATTGTCTACTGTAGGTTTCTACGGTTTTGTCGGCAAAAACTATGGGGAGTGTTTGCGTGTGTTGTGTGTGTGTGTGTGTGCACGCGAGAGAGAGAGAGAGAGAGAGAGAGAGTTTCTATGAATAAAAGACAAGTACATCACATGGTCGTCAACAACCGCTCCCTTAATAACTTGAGAAAAATATCATTTCAGTTGCTAAACAAATTTAAGTATAAACTAAAAGAATAAAAGGGGTGGCAATCTATAAAAGCTTCAAAAGTTCAGTAAGATATCTAACAAAGACACATCCTATCACATAAAAAAATGCTCATATACAGGCATGTAGCTCTTTCACAATATATTTTAGTGACAAAGTAATATCTAATGGTTAAAAGAAACCAAGACAATCACCAATGACTGCATAACTTATCTTGTCATCAATTTCAAGCGATGTAATTCAATGCAAAATCACCAATATGAAAAATAAGTTTTGTCGATATAATTATCAACCTTCGAATAGCAGTCACCATCAAAATGTGAACATGTAAAATACAAGAAGAATTTTACCCTTACCTAATAAATTGCGAACTTTTTCTAGACCTTCTTCTGAGATGGGTCCATTAGGTGTAAGTGATGCTTTACAAGCGTTGTAAAGCTTCTGAACAGCTGGCATTGTATGGAAACTAACCAAGAAAACTTCTAAGAAGCTATTGCCGACTACAGCTGGGATTCTTAATTGAACCAAGTGTCAGGGTCCTCTGTTTCCTGAAGACCCTTCAGCTTACTTGGGAGACTGTATGCAAATAAACCGCAATCACACTAGGAATAATAATGACTGCGAAATCGCCGTATCTACATAATTAATTCTTCTCTGTAAACAGCATCGCCTATTAAACAACCGATATGTTATCAGATTAACGGGAGATAGTTTAAAGCATAAAAATGAAAATAGGGGCAATTCTGATACTGCAGAATCGGGTAGCTCCATAAAAACTGATAAATTCAATGAAACTAAAATAGTGGAAGAATATTGGCTTGGCAAAATATGGATGCCGTCGTATTAACTCAAATTGATCAGAATTGGGAATAATACAACACTTGCTGACATGAATTAAAACGAAGCTTGAAATAAAACAATAAAGACAACGGAAAGGCATGAAGGAAAAAAAACAAAGGTCACAAACAAATAAATACAAATTCAACACAATATAACAGAATTACACACAAAAATCATAGCATAAACACATCGCGGTCACTTTCATGTACGCGCAGAATAAGAAGAAGAGAAGGAGGTCTTACTATGAAGATGAAATCGCAGCGGGGTTTTAGAAATGAGCAAAGATCGATCGATCCCTGTCGTACAGACTCGGAGATGTATCTATATGTATATGGGTCTTTTTTGGGTTAAGGGGTTGGGGGAATCAAGGAATTTGGGAAAAGTTTCGGGGTCCAGGGAAAGATCAGTAGCAGCTGGATGTATTATTATTAATATTATTATTATTATTATTATTGTTATTATTGTTATTATTATTATTATATGGAATAACTGAACTAAAATTCATTGGTATTATTATCGAACTAGTATTCGTCCCTGTGCACATGCACAGAAATAAATAAAAATTTATATATTATATGTATATATATAATATTTAAAATTTTAAATTAGATAATGAATGTATAAATTTTAAAATTTTTGACTATACACAAATGTACAATATAAATATAAATTATTTAACTTGCATGTGAATCTTTATATTGATTACATAAATTTTAATGAACAATGTAATTTTGTAATTTAGAAGGACCATACGATTAATTAGTTATAAAAGTATTACAACTATTTTTTATGTTGTTATGTTAATTACTTATGTAATTTTAAGGAGTTTAATTATAAAACTCGTGTCAATTAACTAATATTAGAGAAAAACCGCTTAATAAGACGGTAAATAATATTTATTATAGAATAAGTATCTTAATAAAAAAATTGCAATATAATTTTTTATAAGTATGTAACTTTCACATGCTATTTAATGTAAATTTATAACTAGCTAGTATTAGTAGTAATTATTACATAATAAATTAGTTTAAACTATTATTACACTTCATTAATGTATAATGTAACAGTTCCACATTAATTGAAAAAAAGAGAGGTTTTTGGTGGGAAAAAGAAGAGAGGTTTTATTATATGTTTTATTTATGGATTAGCAAGTATTTATATATATATATATAGGTAATTGAACTAAATCGCTATATTTTAAAAATTAGGTGAAACTTCTTTATATTTAGTATTTGGTTACAACAGTTTTGCTATGAAGTTATTGGATGGCTCGACTTATGGAGTCATGCACACTTATTCACCAATCGTATATTGACACGTATCCTACGATAAATACAATTTGGACATCTGATGGATGACTCCATAAGAAAACCATCTGATGGCTCTATATCTTTTGACACGTGTTTGAAAATAAAATAACTTTAAAGAAATACATAAAAGTATTTATATTCTTATTCCAAATTATAAAAATAAATGTACAATAAATAATGAAGAGTTAATAAATTGATGGTTATTTAAAATAACACACATTTTTTTAACCCCAAATGTTGTAATAATTATCTTAAGAAAATTTATATAATTAAATGTATGTAAAATAAATATTATTTACTACCCAACTAATTTGATTTTGAATTTTTTAAAATTCCTTCCAAACATGATTATATATAATTATGGTCTACATAAATTGACTTGCTCTCTCGTCTATTATTTTTTCAAGTATTATATATACATGTAAACTAAAATAAACAACAAAATAACCACTTTGAATCGTAATATTCGTTTACGTTATTCTAATTATTCTTGCATAATTTGAAAGAAGTTTAAAATTTTAATAAAGTAACAAAAAAAATTAATAAAGTAATACTAATTGCTTTTCATTTCATAAGTCTTAATATTGAATAGCATATTAAATTTAGTAAATTATTTTATGGTATATTTATCCAAATATTTTTATTTTATTGTATAAGATAATATAGAGTTCCATTTGATTTTATTGTATAAGATAATATAGAGTTCCATTTGTATTTTTTCAATTTGATTTGATAAATAAATTAATATTTTATGTTTAAAGATAGTTGAAATTAATTTTGAATTTGTATACATGATATTGATGTCAATTTGCAGATCGCCAAAAGATGATAATTTTGATAATTATATATGAAATACGAAATACAAATAAAAAAGTTATTAACTTTTAAAATATGATAAAAATATAGAATTTAAGAAAAAAAAAAAAAAA